TTTCACCCTGCCTCTTATACACATCTAGATGTGTATAAGAGACAGAATCAATGTTGCTATAGTATCAGAATTATCTTCTTCATTCTCATATGCAACCTAACTAAGGAGTGTCTTCGAAGAAGTCTCTGCAAAAGTTGCTTGAAATTGGAGGTGCCATCGGACCCGAATGATCACATCGAGCATTTATATATGGCGCTCTACATAAAGAACACTGCGACACCTAGTGCTATACAATTCAAGTGGGCAATAATAAATAAATTAAACTACTGTATTTAATTTATATTCAAAAGAAATTCAAAAGAGATAAAACCTCCAATAGTAAGATGGAACATATGCAAAGACACACAATATGGTACAAACAATGAACTGTCCTATATTGAAAAAAATGTAAACTTTTCAAAAATTCGGCCAAATATAGTTTGGCCGTGACTTTCCAAATGCTACGGCCAGGCAAATTTTTATACGGCCAGATTTGAGGAATCTGGCCGTCAAAAAGGCCAAATGGCAACCCTGATTGCATTTCTGTTCTAACATGTTGAGGGAGATTTAGGTCTTGCATAGCTGCAAGTACAAATCCAATATCAATACAATTTAATTGGTTAAACAATCCTGGTTCATATACTTGTATTTCATTTAATTTCTTTATTTTTCTTGTGTTTGTTTTTTTACAGTACATTAAATTTAGGATAATTTTCTTATAACTAAATTTAATTAATTAGTAAGCTCTTCACTTCACTTAAATATTCATAGAAGTATACCTCCTTCATTAATACGTCTTCATTAATATGTCTTATAACGAAGACGTATTAATGAATATGTGCACTTTTATTATGAACAAGCCCCCAATATTTATTATTTAAGAGGCAACGTCCTTGACTCTGTTTAAGGGCCGCCTAAAAAGCATCTTTTCACTATTTAATTTGTCTTCATTTGTGTGCAATAGCCCTCTGAGAGATTATTATAAGGAGCTATATTAAAAACATATATATTATTATTTTAATTATAATTATATTATTATGTATATTCACTTGACTTACATATTCATGTTTGTTAATACATTATCAGAATCTTAAAATCATAAATATTAGAGCAGGAAATGCAGTTTCATATGATAGTATACTATGTGTTATTCTTTGTTATAACAAAGAATAACACACTTACAGAATGTTTCCTGTATTATTAGCACAGCTTTTTATATAATAATTTGACACCGGCATGGCATTTATTGACTGATCTTAAGCCCTTAATTACTAGGCATATTTCATTACACATAGCTTCAGGTAAGGTCATAAAATTTACATAGATTGAATAAAGTAGCAATTCAACTTCAACATTTTTTATTACTCTTGTTATTTATGCCTAAAGTGTTATGGTATTGTTGGTATTGTGTTGATGGTATTGTTTATTATTAATTTTTTTTTCTTGAATTTTATAATTGAGGGCCATTTTTTATTTCTTGATTAAATTCTTGCTTATACAGTATTTAAATATTTGAAAATTTAAAAAAAATATATCATTTCTATTACCAAATTTTTCATTGGGGCCATTTTTACCTACCTGTCATATGGGGCCATTTTTTCCGGGGGGCCATTTTTTCCGGGGCCATTTTTTCTGGGGCCATTTTTTCCGGGGCCATTCTTACCTACATTCAATAAGCTGAGATAATAAGTACATACAAAAAGTTTTAAAGTAATGCACCATCATCTATTTTTGTATTAATAGGTCGGAAAAAAGAGCTGTTGGAGAGGGCGCTTTATGCCCAAGTGTCACAAGAAGTACATAACGAATTCAATCCCCCTCCTCCTGAGGTTGAGTACACTTCTATTACAAAGAAAGATTTTACTGTTGAGGGTTTTCAGTCCAAAGAAATAGAGCCAGAATTTGAACATAATGTAGAGACAGAACAACCTATAACCTTTTGGAGTTCACACAAGAACAAGATTCATGTAAGTGTGAATAATGAATATTGAATAATAAGAACTTGTATGAGAGAAGGTATCTATGGGTTAAAAGGTGTCAATATCATATAGCTGTGGTGGTGCCTAGACAGCAAGAGGGTGCGAGTTCCACCAGAGACACTCATGCTAGAGTTTTATATCATATACAATAATTTATATATATTATTATAGAACACCTTTTAATGATTTATATGTGAAAGAATATGTATTGTATTCCCGACACCAAGCAGTACTCTTTTTCAGTAATGTGTTTTAAATTCAGCTGAGTAACTTAAATTTGCATTGCATATTTTAATTAAGGAATATCTTTAAGAATTATGTACTGTATGAATATTTTATTGAATATGAAATTTGGTGGGATGGTCACCCAGCAGCAAGGAAAAAAAAAATAGCTGAAAGAAGTGCAGATTCGCTCTATTATTATTATTGTTATTATTTCTTCTTTCTTCTTCTTACAGGGTGTGACTCAAGTCAAGACGACAGACACACCTTTCAAGAAAAACACAGCCTTCAGCAAGCCAATATCAGAATATACGGATGAATCCGAACCTTATGATGCAGAGAAGTATCCATGGATGTGAGCCAGACATCGGATCTTCATTAAATATTCCATCCTTCCCAGTCTAAAAGTTTAAATGAATTTTCTCTACATTTTTGCACAGTTATATTTACAAAGAATATTTTTTTAAACCACATATTAAATATTAAAATAAGATTATTGAAATGCTGATGTCAACATTTACTGTGAGGTTTCATTGATTGCACGTCCTTCATGCAATGAGTCATGAGAAATTCTACAGCGCATTGTTCGTAATGCATTTATTTTGGATGTCTCAAATTCGTATTTATGACCTGCGTATGTCAATGAATTACTTACCTACGAAATTTGTTGCATGCTTCTTGCTCTCTCTTTTGGAATAATCCCTAAATGTCAGTTATTATGAACATTTAATTAATGTCCTGCAAAATTAATTTCAGTTATGAAAATTTAAATTTTAACAAGTCTTGCTAAAATTAAATTAATACGGTATCAGTTATTATGAAAATATGTCCTTCCATTGAAGTATAAAATACGTCCATGGTCCTGCTGAAGTAACATCTTGCTGAAACTAAATTAATTTAATGTCAGTTATGAAAATTTAAATATTAATATGTCTTGTGCTGAATTAAGGTGAGTTATGAAAATTTAAATATCAATAAGTCTTGCTAAAACTAAATTAATGTCATTTATTACAAAAATTTAACTAGTAAGTGTAGCTTATATTGATTTCTCCCAAGATTCATCATGACAAGTATGAGGCATTCTTGATTAAGTTTGATGCTTATTTCTCATTTCCTCGGTTTCCACATGGCTTACTACTTACAAAATTTTCCCATTTCTTGAGTGTAGATGAACATACGTCTTTGACATAATAGCAAAAAACCTCTTATTAATACTGATACTAGAATTTTTTATAACAAATTTAGTGAAGCACTCGTATAATTTTATGTTGTAAGAATTGCCATTTTTGTTTTTTTTATGTAATACCAAGGAGGTACTTACAATAGATTAATAGTATCTGTGGTACAATGGAATGTCCTTGAATTAATGTCTTTTGAGGATATGATTTTCTGTGTAATTGGTATAAGATACAACAATGTACTTTAATTCACACTAGGGGTAATAACTTCTGAAAGGCAACGCAGTTCAGTCATATGAGCAGCAACAATGATTAATTTGAATTGAACAAGAAATTACAGCTGCAATATGTTCAATACAATAGGGCGTTTTATTTCTATTAAAAATCGGAGATGGAAACGGTTCTCTTATCATGTAGGTGGTTATAAGGATTAAAAACTACGCCGCAGAAAAACCTTTGGCTTGCATAAAAAATGGAATGTTGTTTTGTGGGCCCCATTTCTACTACCACATGAAAAGATTTTTTGGAAAGAGCAGTTACTGGAGTCGTTTCTCAGCCAGTAGAAAACACAGCCGCAGGGTCATGTTTATAATTTATTATTGGTTAGGTATGCAAATGAGTAGGGCTGTGATGCAAGCAAAAGTACAGATGGGAGACCTAATGGAGATAATGCAAGAGCGCATTTAATCATGGAGGTATTAAGAAGAGGTTATCAGTGGGACTAGCATTCAAATGAGACATGTGTTGATTATTTGCTGTGACCATATGGCACCTTAACAAGTTTTTAAGCTTTTCATGGTCACATCATGGTCACATAGTTTACCTAGTGGGCATGATATAAATTCATTACAATAGCTTTAGAGGCCTATCTTTTAAAACAAAGAGTCCTTAAATGCAGTTGTTCCCGTTTAGCTTGATTTTAAATAATTTCTTGTATATCAAAAAACATGTATTATACTTTGTGTTGTGAATAAATAAATTTTCAACATTATAGTGAGTTGTTTTCATTAAACTTGTATAGTTGTCTCCTTGGTACTTGAGATTTGCTGTCTCTAGTACATCTAGTCTTAATTAACCAAAAATGTTTAGTTGACTTCACTGTTATGTTAATGTTTTGAGAGAGAAACTAAGATTTTATTTTGTAATTCGTATGAAATGTGAGAGATCCTGCCGGAGTATGTGCAATCAGTTCGTTGTACGTGTTTCCAGCAGAAGGATTTATAGTCCAGTCAATCTGTGGTTTGACCCAGAATTAATTGCAACAGAAATAATATTTGCGGAATCCGTTCCAGAAATATGCACAAAATAACATACTAAAAGTCCGAAAATCCAATCAGGGGAATATTGTAAATTTTAAAGATATTTAATGAGTTAACATCCAATCGTTTATTGTGTCATATAGCCCAGCTGCGTTGAAGCGTAGGAAAGCCTGTTGTTACTAACGAAAAATTGTTAAAATAAAATAGACGCCTGTTGTTGCTAAAGAAAAAAATGTTAAAATAAAATAGACGCCCACGCGCGATGAGGCCAGACGCGTCGATACCACAATGATCAACACAAAGTTTCGTGCACTGTTCTCAAAATTTAATAAAATAATCTCTAAAAATACAGAAGAAAGACAAGCAAGACAATCTAAAAATACATTCCTAACTAAATCTACCATGAACATAGAATAAAGAAACTGAACACAGTCACAACGACAACACCGGGGTACTTTCTAAAATGAGCGATAAAAATGTTTAAAACTTTAAAAATATATCAATGTTACTATTTTGATAATTTGTAAGATGTCTTTGTAATCATTCGGTAGACCTAATATTTAAGTATAGTAGGTGGCCTAACAATAAATGTTTGTACCACGAGCTTATCTCTGTTCTATCACCAAAATCACCAGTTTTGACAGGGTTACTTTCGTCTAAATGCATAATTTCTATCTCACATTTTTATTTTATATACAGTATTTTTATTCCAAATTTCATGATGAAAGTTCATATAATATTACGATTGAAATTAAAACAATTTTTTGTATATCAAATTCCCTCTGCTTTAAAAAGTATATTTATCAGAAAAACTCCGACCAGCGGTGGTCCAAACCAAGGGGTCGACTTCCCCTTGCCCACCCTCCCCACATCCCCACTGGCGCCACAACTAGCTCCGACCAAAAATAAAGTTGTTTTTTGTTTTTTTTCATTTATAACAAGTAGAGCTTTTAAATATCTTGTCTTCACCCCTGCAGTATGATCAGAATAATCAGAATTCATCTGGTAGAAAAAAACTTCTACGTATTTTCTACATATTAGTAGACTCTGAAATCGATTAAATAGGCTTTCGAAACCCCTACATTTTCATATTTTTCGGGTGATTCACATGCCCTGGATCACTTCAAAAAGATATTGAGCGACACCCGACCACGTCCAATTTGCTGTCATTGGGGACATCCCCCGGTCGGGAAATCCTGGCGCCACCACTGAGTATGACCCAGAACAACATTATTACAGTTAATATTTGATTATTGGTATTAAACCTAACGTACTTTCGATTTCCTATCTCGGCCTATTGACAGTAGCCGTGTGCGATGATCCCTGTGTTACCAACGCGTCAAGTTTCATCCAACTGCGTTCGCAAGCGGGCGTCCCATGCTTTAACTTTGTTTCGTTAGCAACAATAGGCAATTATACGCTCCAACACAGCATTAATACGATGTATATGATTAATATGTGTGTATGCATGCATGTATTGTGTGTGTGTGTATATATGTATGTATGTATATATGCATATATATGTGTGTATGTGTATATGTATGTATGTATGTATGTGTATATATATATGTGTGTGTATATGTGTATTACCCTACTTACTTATATTCTTAATAGGCCTATTAGTATTTATTATTATTTCTATTAATATTTTTGTAAACCCTTTTTAAAAAATATATATTTCGTTCTACCGCAGTATTTTCTTACTATATTTAATCACAGTAATTAAGTTTTTACCGATTTTGTTATTGTTGCACATCTTTACGGTTGTGCCTCTGTTATAAAAGGGAAGCAATAAAGTTACTTACTACGATGCGACACAATTGGATGTTAACGCATTAAATATCTTTAAAATTAACACTGTTCTCCCTATTGAATTTTTTCTGACTTTATTTTAACATGTTATTATGTGAATATTTTAATAGGAACAAATTCTGCAAAAATTATTTCTGTAGCAAATAGTTCTAGGTCGATTACAATTTTGTCACAGATTGACTGGACTATTTTTAATTATACTGTCCTCTTATACAGCATATTTAACACCTGACAGAGTAAGACACCAAACAGAATGTTGGTTGAACAAATATTTTCTTTCTCTATGGTATATATAAACATTGTGATGAAAAATGATAGAAAATAACCATACCAGTAGGAAGGATAAAATTACGAGAAGTCTTTTTGTAAATAAAAAAATATTATGTTTATTCGTCCCAATTGATATTACTATTCCCCGCATCATCTGCAGGATTTTTGGTACCCAAGACCCAAGGATAAGAAGGTGAGCACCTCAACCACAGTCGCAGAGTGCTACAGCAGTATTCCGAGATGAAAAATATCAATTTTAACAACACACAAAATTATCTACTAGGGCCTTGTCTGCAGAAAATCCAAATAAATTATATTTATGCATTAAATTTTTGAGCTAGACAACTCCCAACCATAATTATTAGGCGAAGTAAAAAAATAAGTAGTTTCTCGTCCTAATATTTTGAAAAAAAGGAGAATGAGGGCATTTTTTTTTTTACTCCGAGATGGCAAATTCAAGATGGTGGATGAAAAACAGCTACAACTTTCCCACTAGTGAAAGCAAATAAAAGAAGCACCAGACATGATTCATACCATATGTATCTGAAACCACCATAGATTGAAGAGAGGAATTTTACTGACGAGTTAGCCAAATTTTTGTACAATAAAGGAAATTTTTTAAAAATTAAAAAAAATTTGCCGAGGCAGAGATAATCCATGAGAAACTAGTAATGTTTTTGTACTTGGCCTTATTGACAAATAAATTACTGGGGTTTGTCTTCTTGGAGATTTTTACTTTTTATAGTACAGATGTCTATCAACAGCCATCATCCAGTGAAAAAAACACAGTGCATTTTTGTTGAAATATTATTTGTTAAACCATTTCCCAAAGGCTATGGTGCAATCTCCTGTAAGTAGATTTTGATGTTTATGCGTTTCGCTGTCTCAGCAGTTGAATGTCATATTTGTTGTTGGCTCCTCACTGGCAAGTTTTTTTGCAATTATATTATTTTTGGTTGAATATTTCAGGATTGTGTTTTTCTATCCTTATATTTGTATTTGTTACTTTATATTCTTTTGGCAAAATAAAATGACACAAGTTGCTCATAGCCTGCTCTATGCTTATGTCGTTTATTTATTTCACATACATAAGCATTTTTAAAAATTATAGTTTACTAAAATTCCCTAGAAATCCATATTAAACATCAAATTTAGTCAAATATACATAATATATATTATATATAATACATATGTGTAAACAAAATCTTTCCAACACACACTGAATGTCACTGAAAAATTATTACAAATTTTATAATCATTTTTATCAAAAAATATTTTGTAACATTATCTTTCATTAGAAATATATTCACATAAAGATGATAATACGGTACTGTATTTATCGATTGTAAAGAATATAAAAATTATTGAACCTTTACTTTGAAGGATCAGTCTAATAAAATATAGCAATTTCAATCAATGAACTATACTACAATCCTAATATTTTCATTTCCTCTAACACACCTCTACTAATATCAAACATTATTAATAACAGTACTGTAATAAGCTCTATTATGCCCACATTATATACGTGTATTTGAGTTTACATCCGAACACTGGTAAAGACACACAAGCAATCAATGCACAGAGGTTGTTGTTTATCGATTATTCTTTGCTGTCAGCTATGCCTCGGTGAAGCCATTACAGAAATACGCCAAGTAGTTCATTTAATTTTTGCACACATTTGCCAAGCAGTTCAATGATCTAAGCAACTCTACATTATGTCAGTGAGTATATATAATAAGGTAGCGCATTTTCAGTTATGGAGAGCCTTTTTACCCCTAAATATAAAACAATTTTATGAAATTTCTAAATACTTCTAAAGAATTCTTTCGATTGTCTGTTATCAAATTAATTCATATTAAGATAATTTCCAGACTTTTTCAAGAAATTCAATTAAGATTTTTTTCAGATTCTCCAAGCAATTCCATATAAAATTGTGCATGTCTTTCATACACTTTACCTAATAAAAAGAAGTAAATTATGTAGACAATATAGATTGTACCATGTAGATTATTCCAGGGTGAAAATAATGCAAGACAAATTGCATGAGGAAAAGAGTGGATAATAGTTGTTGGGAGTTCAAAATATGCAGATAGGAAGATGAGGGTAAACTTTTGTGTCACTAATGCATTGCAGTATTAAAATTTGTGCTGACAGTTTACTAAAGTGGGGAAAATGCAGGTCCTCTAACCCAGGGGTGCCCACCTTCTGGGATGGGGTCAAAGGTGATCACTGGAAAGAAACTTGTGATTCTTTTTAAAGCCTAGTTTCCATAAAATTGCTACAGACACTACAAGGTTTTTACTGCAATCCTTGCACTGCATAGCTGTCCCCATGAAGGAACTTCACCATTTACCAAATTTTCAATTTTTGAACCAGGTTTTGCCGATCTCTTCTTATCTGTCTTTTTTTACTGCTTCAGGGAATTTTGTAACAAGATTAACAGTGAAGCTCATTAGTTATGAATAGTTCTTAAGATTATGATTTTTACCTGAAATTATAGCTAAGGTAATAAAAATCCCAAATATTTTTGAACAACAGGTTTTTAAACTTTTTCAGCCTGGTTTTTAAATACTATGGTATTTTATAGAAACAGCAATGCCTGCTGTGATAATGACTCTTAAGTAGAAGTATTCTTCTTTGATGTTTAATTGGATTATTTAGATAAGATTCTGGCAAAACCTGATTCACCAACCCACAAGGGTTTGCTGGTAAATGGGATAGTAAGAGCATGTGATGCAATTGTGAACATTCCCTGATTCAAATGACCAATCAGCGTAAAAGAATGAGTTTTATGGAAACTAGGCTGAGATGACAGTAATTAGATCAGTTGATTTGTACAATGGTATAAAATATGATTTATAAAATTTTACAAAATTGTCCCCGCCGCCACGAAAAAGTGGAAATTTCAGTTTTTCTTTATTTTTATTATGCCCTCTGCTGCCTTGAAATCTCCAAAGATATGTATATTTGTATATTTATTCATAATTATATAAATTTGAAGCATTTAACCATCCTATTTTACATTCACCAATAAATTTTTATTTTTATTTTCTCCTCTGTCTGGATGATTTTGGCAAAACTTTTTATTTTTATTTCGCCCTCCTTGGATAATGTTTAAAAAATAAGTAAGCGAAACAAGGAATAAAAAAAGTCTTGCCTAAAATAAGATAAACATTTTGTTATAGACTTATACATAAAATATATCTATTTAAAAATCCTGTCCACCAAAATATAAAAGGTTGTATAATCTATACTACCTAATAATGATAATATTTCGTTCTATTTATTCATATTCAACAATTTATAAAATATTAAATACTTAAATATTTATAAACTGAAAGTCATATACATATCATGCAGTAAAATATTGAAATGGCTGAGACGCAATCAATCACACTGTACATCATATCAGTAATGCTGAATAGTGTTATTATTTTAAATTATGTGACCCACACACTGCAAAGTGGGCTTGCTGCAAGAGACATAAAAATTGTGATAAATTTGATATTTGCACTTAATCATGTACACCTCAGTGTAAATGAAATGGAGATATTATTGCCTTTATTAAATAAGTATATGCCTGAACTGAAAATGAAATAAAAAACTACAGCTTTAGAAATTCATTTTTTTATCACTATTTATATTTTTTTCATATTTTCACTAATATTAAACCAAATGTTTAAAATCACTTTACACTGAATGATTCAAAAATATATTTGTTGTTATAGCCAAGTTTCAAGAACCAACCTACTTTAGTTGTTTTTACTTCAAAAGGAGCTGCATTTTGAGGTGGAGGTTCAGATGTCACTAGCAAAGACAACTAGCAATGCTGATTATTTGGAGCCTGTATGCACATAAGCAGCCAATGTGCTTTAATTCTCATAACCAGCCTTCAGTAATACAATAATACAAAAATATATCAAAGATAAACATTTAAAATAATTACAAATCATGACATATTATGGATGGGTTGGGAACTGACAAGCAACAGGCAATAAGCGGCAGTGGCGTAACGATGGGGTAGGGGGCCCTGGTGTTTTCTGAGACTGGAGCCCTTTTAGTGGTGGTGCCAGTGGAGGGGGATCCTGTTCGACAGGCCTGTACCCCCTCGAACCTAACGCCTTGACGATGTCGTTGGATCAAAATTTTTAAAAATATTATTTGCCTATTTAAATTCACATTATTTTAATTTCCAATCCTTAATGTTGTGGTTTAAAAGCACAATTTGGATCATACTAAGCTCTACAAACCCTCCAGTGAACCCTACCAGCCATTTTTTTAATGTGAGACCTGGATATAATATATGTCCCACAGTCGCCCCTGCAAAACCCTATCGCGGGCTGCCACACTAAAAAAGAATGTAGGTAAGAATGGCCCCGGAAAAAATGGCCCCAGAAAAAATGGCCCCGGAAAAAATGGCCCCAGAAAATATGGCCCCGGTAAAAATGGCCCCATATGACAGGTAGGTAAAAATGGCCCCAATGAAAAATTCGGTAATAGAAATGATATATTTTTTTTAATCTTTAAATATTTAAATACTGTATAAGCAAGAATTGAATCAAGAAATAAAAAATGGCCCTCAATTATAAAATTCAAGAAAAAAAAAAAAAAATAAACAAATGTTGTAAAATACCTTGTTGCAAAAATTTAATTAATAAATCAACATAAAGAATATGCATATTTGAGAACTAAAATAAATTAGTTTTTAGCTCCTATTAGTAGCTCTGGGAGTAGGTCTAAGAATTTTTTAAAATTATTAATATTATTAGATATTATTACTATATTTGCGGCAAATTATTAATATTATTATTATTATTAATGGCTCTGATGGGAGGCTCTAAAACATTGATTCGGCACCAGTTTTGAACGACAAACTTGCAGGTAATGTTATAAACCATTTTCGGGAAATTTGAAATAAAAATTTCCAATAACGTGGCGAATACCAACGATGGGGACTTTCAGAGGCCTGGCATTTCGCGGTACGTATTACTGTCATGGATAACATCAACAGCAAATCTAAATTGCTAACGAGCACAAACATTTTAAAACGGAAAAACAGTACAGTAAAATGTACAATAGCGAGTTTGTCAAACAAGGTATAAAAAAAGTCTCGCCTTGGGTAGCATCTTTTTAAAGAAAATCATTAATTTCATTAAAAAAAACAAAAGTTACTGATTGATTAAATAATTCTATTTTAAATAAGAAATGATTATGCACAGTAAAGGTAACATAGGACAACATTTAAAAGATCATTATATTAGTGCTACTGAAACTGTTAATTAT